TAAGTAAATGGAGTTCAGAAAATTTTAAAAGATTTGGGTTAATAATCCAAAAATGTGCTAAACATGTTAGATTTTATTATATGAATTCTAATTACTTTCTAACAAGAGTTAAGCCTTTCAAAAAATCATTGGGTGAATTCTATGATACAATGGAGAAATTTCATTTGCCCATCATCTCCAATAATGCAGTCACCAATAGTTCTCCTTTAACAACAAAGGAATTCACATCATCATTGACAATTTATCGTCGTGGAGCAAATAAAGTACGGAAACAAATGTGGTGGAAAGATATGAAAATGAGAATTATTATTGCTATCACTATAATCATTTTATTATTGGTTATTATTTGTAAGTAATATCAATTATATTATACTGGAGAAAAATATAAGTAACATATTTTATTAACTGGCTTAATCAATCAAATTTTTTTGTAGTGCCAATTGTTCTAAAAAGCAAATAAAAAATGAATTCATTTCATTCAACTATAACTTCCTTCCTTCGCTTTCTTCAAATTTTCATTCATCATTTCATCATTTTCTTGTCTTCTGATAATTTAATGATATTAATTTTATGCATAAAAAATATTCACTAATAATAATTAAAGTAGAATTTATTGTTTATTATCCTTGATTATTTTTATAATTTATAATTTAATTTTTTAAACATTAATATAATTTTTTCTTCTAAAAGAATAATATAGTACCCCATATATTAATATTTAATATTATTAATATGCTAATTGTATATGTTCATTTATTATTATGTTTATTATAGTTTTTATCGTGGTAAAAACAAATCATGGGTAATTTGTATAATAAAGTAATAAACAATTTAACCTTTCCCAGATGATGATAAAACATATCCTCTATTTTTAAAGGATGACCTGCATCAAAAATAGTTCGTGATATTTTTTTTTTATTTTTATATTTTTCTTGTGTATCCCAATCTCATCAGTTGGTTCCAAGGAGCCAAATTTTCTTTCGCTGAATACAAATCCAGATCCCACACGCTCATTCCATTACTAAACTCGAACATTTCTTATTAATAACGTGATACATGATTGATTGGGAGATTCGTATAATTGTGTGCTTTATGTTCCAGGATCAACTAATTGTAGTAATGAAAATTTTTACGCAAAAGCTTTTTATAATTAATTATAGAAGTTTTTATAATATCAAAATTGATTGATTATGTTACTTTGCAATAATAAACATTT